GTCGTCGTGGTCGTCGTGGTCGTCGTGGTCGTCGTGGTCGTCGTGGTGGTGGTGGTGGTGGTGATGGTGGTGGTGGTGGTGGTGGTCGTCGTCGTCGTCGTCGTCGTTGTGGTTGCTGTTGTTGTTGTTGGTGGTGGTGGTGGTGGTGGTTGTTGTTGTTGGTTCATGCTGCGCGCAGCGCACGCTTCACTTGTTTGCAGCTGCAAGCGGGCCCCTGAGGGGTGGACACCGGTGGACACCTTGGCAACGGATGCAACAGTTTAAAAATCACAGTGGGGGATATGTATTGTGCAGATACACCGAATTAGCATTGAATTTCTCTATGGTTTTTTTCATTGGGTTGCCAAAGCAGCAGTGATGCCGCCCAGGTTGTTGTCGACAGCTTCGCAGATAGCAGACAAAGAGATGTCCTGAACTTGGCAGAAGAGCTCGAACAAGAAAATGAAAATGACAAGAAATACCTCCAAAGCATCTTCAACCGGCTAGATTTGCGCCAGAATGGTTTTCTGACATTAGAAGATCTAGTGAAAGGAGCGCGTACAGATCCAGAGTTTCAATCCCGGCTGCGCGTCATGGACATTGACGAAGCGGACTTGGAACAACTCTTTGAGATGATCCTCGGTTTGTTTAGGTTGTTCATGTTTCAGAAAGGTGCATTTTCAATCATCAAGATTAAAAAGTTGTATAAACATGCATAGTTATTATTGCTTCCCAAGCGGTTGGGTCGACCATGAGGATTGATGTCGACCACTCGGGCGAAGTGAGTCCCGATGAGTTTATAAGCCCTCTCAGCCGTTGGATCCACGACTCCAAAACAGCGCCCCGCTTTGTGAAGTACAACATCGACCGAAGCCTCCACGCCCAAGAAACTTGACCAAAAAGGTTTCCGGCGTGAAGATGATCGTTGTCAAGAGGTGGTATGATAGGTGTATGTTTTTTAATTGTGCTGACTGTGCGTGTGCCCCTTGTAGTCACAGGGATCCTTTCGGATTGTACCCCTTTTTCCTTTGTTCAGCAGGGGCGCGGCATCCATGACCTACCGTGTGCAACGAAGCTACGGTCACGGATGGGAAGGGAAGGCTGATCACCTTCCTGTACCTGCTTGGTTGTGATGTTCTCAAGCTGTCACTCTCACATTCCAGTAAAGGGCTAATGCATGCTGCAGACTGTGCACGTTCCGTCGTCCTTGTCGGTCGATCGTTTCGCGGTTTTGCCATTTGGAACCTAGACCTTTGGAGGTTTGAGAATTGGGCAGCTCTGAACCCTGTGTCCTTAGGTTTTTCACTTAGGCTGGCGTGTGGCACCGCATTCACATCAGTACACATTTCTATAAGTGTGTCTCTCCCAGGGTGACCCTGCAGAGTGGCCCCTGTGGACCCGTTTAACGGGTGTTCGTCTTCGGCCCTGCGCCCGGGACCAGAGTAGCTCACAGCGAGCGTAGGTGGCCTAGGCCGAGAGAAGTCACACTTATGTCTTATTTTTGAATTCCAAGCTGGCTTATGCCTTTACGTGACCGTAGCGGTCAAAGGTGGCAGCCTTCGGGCAGGCGTCGCAGCGACCAAAGCTTGTTCAAGGTTCATTGGAACCTGTCGGGACCTTTGGTGTACACACAGCACGTACATGTTCAACGAGGTTCTTTAATGAGGTTTGGGTTCATTGGTTCTCGTCCCCTCCATTTGGTTCCCTTTTCATTTTTCCCCTTCACACACATCTGTTTTCCTCTTTTCTTTCATGTCCTCCTGTCTTCATGTCTTTCATCTCATCCTTTCTTTCGTTTGCGCGCACCTTGGTCCCGGCCTTAGCGTGTACGTGCACAACTACATGTGCTTTAAACAGGTGGGTTTCATTGTTTGTCCCTGTGCACTTGGTTCCCCTTTCATCACAACCACCTACACCTTTGTCCCGTCCCGTCCTCTTGTTATGTCTTCACTCTTTTGTCTCTCGCGCGCGCGCGCACGTGCACATTTGCCTTAACCTTGGTTTTACGCCTCCCCTCGGGGGGGCGTGTGTGTGTGTGTGTGTGTGCCTCTTGTAGTCACAGGGATCCTTTCGGATTGTACCCTTTTTTTCCTTTGCTCAGCAGGGGCACACGGCATCCATGACCTACCGTGTGCAACGAAGCTACGGTCATGGATGGGAAGGGAAGGCTGATCACCTTCCTGTGCCTGCTTGGTCTCAAGCTGTCACTCATATTCCAGTAAAGGGCTAGTGCATGCTGCAGACTTTGCACGTTCCGTCGTCCTTGTCGGTCGATCGTTTCGCGGTTTTGCGATTTGGAGCCTAGACCTTTGGAGGTTTGAGAATTTGGGCAGCTCTGAACCCTGTGTCCTTAGGTTTTTCACTTAGGCTGGCGTGTGGCACCGCATTCACATCAGTACACATTTCTATAGGTGTGTTAAATGTTGGCGTGCGAGGGTCTGCCAGCATCAGGATGTGTGAGGTTCAGCCATGTTGGATGCAAAGTGTGAAGTGCCAACCAAGGAAGAGATCTTAAAGCAGAGTCACCAGCATTTTTCCATCTTAGCGAGTCGACTGGATGAACTTTGCGAACTTTTCTTGCCACACGAACGTGCAGATGCCGAGTGGCAATCTTCCCCAGGTGTGATGTTAGGACTGTATGGCTCCTCTGAGGATAAGAGCATGATGATGCGCACCACAGTCGATGCCAGTGATGCCGGTGACATTGACGCCCAAGAGAGCGAAATCGAACAGCCACAGTTGTCCTGTCGAGGACTGGGGGAAGAGAAGGCAGACTTTGGGGTGAAACTGCAGGCCAAAGGCAGAGCTGCAAAGCCGAAAGTACCAAAATCCCAACAATTGCTTGATGCAAAAGATGCTCCCCGTCCTGACCTTCGCATGTGTCAGGGGGAAGAGAGGCAAGGCATTTGAAAGGTTTATGACACTGACGGGACTGATGAGTTGCCGTCCAAAGCCAGTGCCAACTTGCTTCAGCCAGGGGATTATTTTTAGCTTCCAGTCTCTTCGTGAAACCACGAATTGAAGACATTCTGAGGGCAAATCCAACCTGCCCTGACGAAGCAGCTTCGAAGGAAACGCATCGCTGCCACTTGCTGGCGCTGCCAGATGTGTTGTCGATCTTCGAGAATACATTGCCAGTTTGCCTGGGGGTTCATGGCCGCACTGCAGGGAGTTGTATGTGTGATGCCCTTTGGCGAACGACCAACCTTTGTATTTGTATAAATCTGGCTGGGCTTGGCCACTCCTTCACCACGTGTTTTCAAGTTTTTCACAAATTAATTCAGGATTTCTTGATGCTTCTTTCTGTTCGATTTGTTATCCGGAGGCTTCTTGAGCACTGTGATCCGGACCAGCTCAGCGGCATCCTGGATCCCGTGGTGAAGGCGGCCACGAAGCTTGCCAAGGAGCAGCGGGTCATGGATCGAACATCATAATTGGAACCTCATTATGTCATATGATGTCATTGTGTCTCATGGTTCTGCCATTGACTGACTTTGGAAGGACAGCCACGCGAACTACGTCATCCAGTGCATTTTGGAGCGTGGCCGCTTCGAGGATAAGCGCCAGATCCTCGAGGTGGGAGTTGCTAACGTTCCGAAGCACAGGTCATGTCTTCAGACATAACTTTGGTGTGCAGGTCATCACTGGGAGTGTTCTGGACTTCGCGACGAACAAGGTCAAGACTCACCATGTCACCTTTATGACATGAGGAAACGAATGGACAGAGCAAAAGGATGCCAAAGCATGTTGTATGTGTCAAGCTGAAATGGTGGGATGGATGCTTACTGTTTTCCCCCTTCAGCCGCAGGTGTCCAGCAACGTGGTGGAGAAATGCTTCGAAATCAGCACTGTTGGATCCCATGCCAATGATTTCGTCGAAGAAAGGTTGGGAGACGCAGGAAGGACAGCAAGGATGTTTTCACATGTAAAGGTGTGTGGTGCAGATGTACGGGAGTCGAGTTGGCTGCAGGTCGGCTCTGATGCGTGCTGTGCTGGGTAAGAAGTCAGATCCCAATGCGCCAATTGCGCGGCTCATGAAGGACCCGCATTTCAGACTGCACTTGAGCCTCCAACTTGAGAGCCAAATTTGGCAGGTCTTGCAAGTTACTGACGACATTGTGAAACTATTGGTGTCCAGAGTTTTCGACCCAACAACGTCGGTTGCAGACTCATGCAGATCCAGCCAGCAAACGTCGACCGAACGCGACACTACCCCAGAAGTGCACTCACTAACAATTATATACATATAGTTATATAACCAAGTATGGAGAGGAAACAGCTATACTGACAGTAGTACCATCCAAGCCACATTGTTCAGGACAAGTTCGGAAACTATACCGTGCAGCGCATCATCGAGCACAGCCGTGGAGACGACTGGCTCGAGTTGCGCACTCGCATTGAGGCGCCGGGAGGGTCCAGGAGGGTTGGGGGGGAATTGCAGCTGGACAGCTTCGCAGCTATGCATTTGAGGATGTGGAAGATGACCTGAAGAAATCGCCCACGGGAAAACATATTATAGCAGCCTTCGAGAAGAAGATCGCGGCCATGGAAGGCTGAGAGGTACAACTGGCTAGGTTCCACAAGTTCTACTGTACAAGGTTTCAGGTGACTCAGGTGACCTTGTGAAGAGCAATCCAGTGGCCGCCTTGGCATGCCTTGGCCGCTTTCGAGGATGCCAAATGCCATGCCCCATCCAAGACGGATGGGATCGGAGAGGCAATCCATACCGAAGTGCTGAAGCACTCCCTCTCGCATCTCTTGGCAGGTCTGTTCAATGAGAAGGTGTAGAGACATAGACATAGTCGAGAGTGGTTTGTGCCCCAGAGTCACATACCATCACCCTAGGCCCTAGTCCTTGAGTGCGAGCAGGGAGGCTCCACTTTTGTATCAAAGTTAGCTTCTCACTGAGCTAGTTGGCATTTCAAGCGGCAGAAATCTGTGCTTACTACATCATTATGGCTGAGAGTGGTGTGAGCTCCCAGCGAAACCTCAAAACAGACAACAGATGACAGAAAGATTCAATGTATTTTCAAGATATGCGTGGAAAATGGTGCACACATGCCGTGCATCCCTTGATCTAGCAGCCTGAAGCCCACCAACGCACGCCAAGGCCAGCCGTGGAGACAGCGTTGCGGCCGCGAATGCAGTCTCACATAGGGAGTGACCTTTCCATCCCAGGCAAATGTTTAGAAAACAAGGGCTTTCAGAGAGTGCTGGACAGCTTGATGTAAAACGAGGGCATTTTGATTGCGGTGCTTTGTTAAAAGTACCCAGCCCAGCCCGTTTTACGACCCAGTTGGCCCCACTGTGCACGATCTGATTTTTGCACCGTGCTCAAAGAAACGGGTTGGGCCCAACAAGTGAAGAGGGACGAAGCTGGGACCTGAGATGATGATTGCGTTTCAATTGTGTTCTTCTACACGCGGATTGTGATTCGGTTGTGGCGGGTATGGGCGGAGGTTTTGTTTGTGGTGAACTGCGAGAGATTGTGATTTTGTTTTGGACATTCAATAATGGCCAGCCATAGTGGACATGCCAAGGAAATAAGCTGACCCAGAACGACACCCACATCATGTCCAGGCAGTGTGTACAGGCAGGAGCCATGGTTGTGATGAAAGGTTCATCGGAGCTTAGCCTGTTTTGAACATGGACGTGGCAAACGATGTGCTTCCCGTGGAGTGATAAGATTTGCAACGAAAACGTCCCGGCCCAGGAAGATGCAAAGCCGGGTGCCACAGCAAGTACTTCGTTTGCCTTAGGCTTATTCGGTCAGGTGGGTGCATGTATTGTGTATTGGAGTGTGGATGGACACCGTCACATCTCGGCATTGCGCTGCTCCCGGCTCAAAACTCACCTGTATATATAATTGGGCAGGCCATGCAGCTCACCTCCATACCATCTATATACAAGATTCATTGTGTGTGTCAAGTGCCTAAGTGAGTCAAGCCTGCAGTGTTCTGGCTCTGAGGGAGTCTTGTACTGCCTTTGCCCAGTCAAGATGACCAGCAACTTGCTGGCTGCTCTGAAGAGCCAGCAGGGCAAAGGTGTCACCGTCACAGTGCATCCCCTCATTGAGGCTGGGCCAAGTGGCAGTGATGAGGAGATGTACTTGTTTACAAGTTTTAGTGTACGTCGCGTCAGTCACGAAGGTATCCTTTTTTCGATTCCCCCCCTGACCGCTTTGCCCCACCTTCCTCACCTGGCACTTTGTCACCGACCCCTGTTTCTGGCAGTTTGGACTTTTGGGAACTGTGGAATCCTTTCACGGGTGCAGGAGCACTCAAGCACTCCTCACGCACGTTCGGACAGCACCATTGTTTGGAAGCCTGTTTTTCGGCTGCATTTTTGTTGAGCTTTGTGTCGCTTGACTTGAGGCCGCCAAGACTGGGTCTGAGGATGCTTGCCAACGTGCGCTCAAGGAGACCCGGTTGCGGATGTCATGTAGCGCATGTTTGGAGAGGGTCAAATATCCTGAGCCAAGCACCTTGTGCCATCCAAGCGCTGCTAGTTGCAGCTTGTAGCAATACACCCAGGCATGGACCGTCCTCCATGGCTGTGTGGTTTGACCCCCAGTTTTTGACGTGCTCAAGACCGCTGGATCTGTTAGGGCCTCTCTGGATTGATCTCGCCATGCTGCGCACAAGCCTTGCTTTGGTTGCCCTGGGATGCTTGGCTTGGCAGAGCGCTTTCGTCCAAACTTCTGGAACCAGTGCGAAGGTCAGCAGCCCTGTTCAGAGCGCCGGACGTGCTCCGGACATGGTGGATGCTCAGGATGACGGTGGCGCTTCCACCATGGCATCCCTCAGCTTCGGCATCATGGCGGGCCTTCTCGTAGCGCTGGCCGGCGCTTCCCCGGCTTTGGCCCAGCGAAATCAGTTTGCCGGCAGCGGCAATAATGATGAGGAGCTCAAGAAGCTGGATGTGGGAGCCAAGTCGAGCGGTTTGTTGAAGGAGCTGGGCAACACTGCCGGTGACCCAAAGTGGGATGCAAAGGAGAAGTTGGTCTACTTGGCTGACAACATCGAGAACAAGGAGGACAAGCAGAAGTAGAGGCTCGTGCCACTCGGGAGACCATTGGACTCAAGCAGGGGCCATAGAGAAATATCAAACAACATCCCATGAGTCCAGCTACACCGATCTGAGAGGCCGCCAGATGTTTTTTGAGCCAGATCAATCTGCTCGCGGTCAGCCAGTCGAAAAGGTTCGTTTGTTCCTGCTTGCTCGGATCGTTTGTGTGACCATCAGCTTGCTGCATGGTCCACGTTTTCTCAGGTTGTACAGGCTCCTTCAATGGGTTCACGAACTTCGCAAAAGTTTTTTGTCACAGATTTCACGTATACCCTCCGGCTCACGAACATGGCAGTGAAAAATGGACCCTCGGATACCCCTTTTATATCCATCAGATTTCCTTTGCAAACAGGGTTGGCCGTCCAGTTTGGAGTAGACTCCGTCGAATGCTCCGAACCTCCGAACCGTGCCCGCACGAGTCCATTTTCTGTGGTCTAGGAGCCCAAAGTCAAGGTGGACCAAAAGGATTCCGTGGGCATGAGTGCATTGATGCATGCAGCAGAGCTGGGACATATGCATGCGGCCTGTCATATCCCAGACTTGTGGAGGGGGGAGGGCTGCTGGCTCTATTGCTTTGCATGGAAATTGCGTCCGACCTTTGCAACAGGGTAATTTTGGTGGATAACTACAATTTTCATGCAAAGTTCTTCGGTGGCATTTGTCAGTGAGAGAATTGCAGCTTTCTCAATGACTCCCTCGATGACGGGTTGTTCTCAGGTGGTGAAGTTTCTGGTGGATCATGGCGCCCGAGTCTCTGCCAAGGATGATCTAGGGGAGACTGCCCTGATGAAGGCATGTTGCTTGGCTTCATGTGAGCCTCACAGAAGGGCGAAATGAGTCAAGAAACGCGGATAGTTAGTGAGGCTTAAAGTTCAGCTCTAATATAACTCATCCAACTCATTTCAACTCTAGTTGTGTCGTCGGTCGGCCTGCAACTGAGGCAAAGCTGGCCACACAGATGTGATCAAATTTCTCATCGATTCCCAGGTGATGCAGCGATGCTGGGTGGCAGTAGTCCAACTTTTTCATTTGCTTTTGATGCTTTTGATGGCAGTAGTGCACAAAGAGTTCTCCAGAAGCTCAGTTGAACTCCAAAAGACCGTTGTTGTTCAAGAATATTGTTGTTCTCTTCAGCTCCATTCTTGTGTGCCACAACTGGTGGCCTCTGGGACCCACTGCACTGGTACCTTAAGGCAAAAAGACCGGCGGCACCGTGATGGGCGACGCGCAGAAAACCAAGCGAATGGAACGGCAGCGCGTATTGGATGTGAAGGATGATGATGGGGTCACTGCACTGATGAACCTTGGGCGACACATGGTCGGGCGCGAAGGCGGCGAAGAAACCTCACCTCCGGACCGATGGTCGGTGTGGCTTGGAAAACTCACAGGTCGAGAGGGATTCGGTGATTTTGTTCACTCCCTCCTGCCATTTCTGCTTTTCTTACCCAGTCCTTCCCCTTCAAGCTGTTGGTCTGACGGGGGTGTGCAGAGAGACGGAAGGCAGGTCTACCAAAGTTTAAGTCTACATAAGTGTGTCCATTTTCTCTGTCATTCGTTTGAAGAGGTCAGCCCTTGGACCTAGCCGCATCACTCAATCTGTGGACTTTGTCACCTGTTCTAGATGGCAGGGCGTGTGCATAGGCCAGTTGACGCCCAGTACATCACGGCAAGCTGTTCTTTTTCTGAAACACTCGTTATTTTGGGCTGGTGCCGGGGTGTGTGCTCATTTTTGTGAGGCAGGTCGGGAACCAAGCCATATTATGTCCTTTATAGCGCACGGTGGAGCAGGGTTTGCACTTGAGGAAGGCAGCTGAGAACGATGAGTCGGAGGCGTTGCGGCTCTTAATTGACGAAGGGGCTTCTCTGGAAGCTCGGCAAGACTGGGGAGTTGAACGTCCTTGACCATGAGATTGTTGAGCAGCCCTGTGCTGTTACAATTCTGTAGGTCTCTGGACGTTTAAGGACCTGAAGGATGACCATGGGTGGACGGTGCTCATGTGGGCGGCTTTAGCTGGCAGCATTGACATATGTGATACTTGGCTGCGTTTGGAGCCCCGAAGCTGCCCTGATGGAGACAGCTCGGCCTTTGTTTACCGGGAATTACCGCCCTTCGTTGTGATTTTGTTTCCGCCAAATTTGCACAGATACTTATAAGTTATAAGCATTTAATTCATCATGTAACATATCTGTCAATGCATATGGAAGTTGAGTGGGCTCTCGCTCCACGAGCTTTGAGGCCGATCCTCAATTCGATCAATCATTGACCGATGGACCTATTCGGACACCACATCGCCAGGAAATGTTGGTGAAGAACTATGACTCAGCACCTGACTATGCCACCGAGAGGGGTGAAAGTGCTCTAATGAAGGCAGCGGCCAATGGACATTGGGAACCTTGGCGCAGCTTCACTCTGCCAGATTGAGGTGCTAAATGTCCACTGCTGTAGGCGGAAAGCCGGTTAAGAAGGTAGGTATCAGGTGAGATGATGTGAGATGTAATGTAGGTGTGATCCGATTTTCTGGCTCCAGTCTCCTTCGTTTTGTCCATCATAGTTGTGCCTTTGTGATATTTTTGCCGATGCGGCTGAGGATGTTTGTGAGTACTTGTTGGAGGAAGGCGCTAAGGCCATGTGGGGATGGAATGGGCCCAACAGGCCGAGTTGAAGGAAGAGGGGCGGGGATGGCACGCGATCACATCAACCAATCTTGGAATTGAGCGCTTTTCACTTAATTAGTCGGGACCGTTGATCTTGGGCGGTTTGAGGAGGAGGAGGAGGAGCAGGAGGCAGATGTCCCAACTGTGCCGCAGGTAAATCAACTTGATGCTGAGCACCAGACTGCCTTGATGTGGGCATCAGCTATGGGGCACGCCGCCGTGGTAAAGGGGCTGATTGGTCGAGAAGCAAAGGCCAGGTTTGAGCGGGTTTTGGACTTTCTTTTTGAATCTGGCGAGCTCTCCGAGGGATTGAAATCCATATCTAGGGGCATGCTCAGGTGGACTTGCCCTGCAAGGGTGGCAAGACGGCCTTGATGATGGCATGTGCTTTGGGTCGTGATTTGGTGGTTGGAGAATCTAGGCTGCCATCTCTGTGCAACATCTGTTCAAGGAGAGCACGGTCAGAACGGCAAGTGCAGATAGTGCAGCACATGCCCCGTGCTCCGAGGAGATATTGACCAGCAAGGCCAGAGTGGATCAGCAAGACTCAGAAGGACACAACGCTCTTTTCTCTACGATCCAATGCGGGAGTCAGGAGAGGGTCGTTCTGAATGTAATGCACCTGGCACACATGCCACTCGCAGGTGACTCACAAAAGCAAGCTATCATGAGCCCTTGTCACATGTATATACCATGCTGGAAGAAGCTCCCTCCTGTCTGTGTCGAAGGAGATTGTGACGATGCTCCTTCAGCATCGTTGCCCAATAGAGGCTTGGGTAAACGGCGGACGGAAGACAGACTTTCCGCAACAGGAAACCTGGGTTGCAACGTGCCAAGTTGCTTGACATTGACAAGCCTATTTTTCCTTTTGCTAGTAGGTTGGAGGCCATTGCTAGTAGGTTGGAGGCCATCGCTAGTAGGTTGGAGGCCATCGTTAGTAGGTTGGAGGCCATCGCTAGTAGGTTGGAGGCCATCGTTAGTAGGTTGGAGGCCATCGCTAGTAATGGAGGCCATCGCCATTAGGTTGGAGGCCGTTGCTAGTAGGTGTTCCCCGCCCTCGCAGGCACACAGCAAGAAAGGCGAGACGCCCCTGATGTGGGCAGCAAAGGAACAACAAGTAGACTGCCTCAAGGTCTTGATAAATGCCCGGGCTGATTTGAATGCCCAGGACGAACGGACTTATCACAGTCATTGGTGATTTTGTCATTGGCTATATAAGTCATTTGATTGTTCTTTTTTTGGGCTTGGCTTTGTCAATGCTCTGTCCACGAGATGGGGCACGTTGAACATGCGAGGGGCCTTTAGGTGTTGTGTAGAGTGTAGTCAAGTTGCCCATGGTGCCCACGTGACAAATTCACATGAATTTGCATTATGAGGGTGATTCATCGGTCTCACCTTGTACCACTCACATCATGGTGACACCCTGAGCCATCTCAGGGTGACACCCTGAGCCATCTCAGCTATATAAATTGAGTGGCGATCATCTCTAATTAACAATTGTTTGCCTTGGGTGCAGGATGAGAACGGACAGAGAGCCATCGACCATGCGGAGGGCACCTTGAACAGCAAGGCAGGTCATGCGTCTCATCTCATCTCTCACCGCCATTTGTTGGCCCCTTCCCTTCGTGCACTTCGAGAAAGACGCTTTTCAGGTTGTAGACCCGCTGCGGCAAGCCATGAGAGCCTTGGCCAGTGGCACTCCTTGACGTTAGCGGTGCGAAACAGCCCGCTCGCCCGACCCATCGGGCATCAAAAAAAGATCCGACAGCACCAGCAGGGCGACGGTCTGGCACCTACGTGGAGTCCAGAGGTTGAGCCTTATAATCTTAAGAGGTCCAGTTTTGGAGTGTTTTGGAGCCCTGCCCCCCCGCACAAACATCACAAACCATCCCTCCCAATCAGTGAGACGGTCCGGGAGTTTCGGTGCTGAGGTCCTGCAGCTCTGTGCTGTCAAACGGCCCAGGGCTGAGGGGCCTGAAGCAGAAGCGGTGCGAAGCCGCTGTGGGTCCAAACCGCGGCACCCTGGATACCCTCGATCCTGAACAGGGTGGCCTGCGAAGAGATAGAGATAGAGAGAGGTAGAGCCAGCCTGTATCACCCACCGCATGACAGCATTTTTGGACCGATTCGTGATTCGAGCTAACAATAGAAATGACAGAAGATTTGTACTTCTGTTACCCTTTGTGGCACTCAGCCGGCATAGCATATGGGGCGCGCACACGCACGCACACACACACACACACACACACACACACCTGGCTCCACGCCGCTCAGTTGGTCGTTTCGCCAAGGCAGCCCAGGCTCGGAATCTTCGCTCCGGTCCTGGCAGATCATCCGGGAACCATCGGTGACCGCGTGTGGGTCCCAAAGCGGACCTGTATGGACATGGTTTTGGTATGTTTTGATGACCGGGGGGATGCAATCATGGTGCCATGAGGACGGAACAGCTATATACATGAAATAGATACAGATCCATAAGCAGATCCATCCAGGCTGTCACTTGAGGTGATTTTCATCATGTCCTCCTGCTCAATAAAGATCGATTCAACCCCTGCTCACTTCTGGACGGTCCTTCCTACACCGATGGCCAGTTTGCCCTCAGGCTGTCGGCTTTCTCGAGTGGTACAGCAAGGCTCCAGAGATGAGTTGCGGCTGTTTCTCCCTTCCCATTGAAGGGGCTGCAAAGGACAGGGTGTTTCTTAGATACCTGAGAAGTCCGCAGCTCCTGCAACGCAGTGTTTGGTGACCCAAGAGGCCAAGAGGGTTTCCCAACTGAGAATAATTGAAGCAGGAACAGATGTACATCCCCAAAATTTGTCAAATTTTGAGATTTGCCTTTATGGATTGGAGACTTCAGCTGCTGAGTTGCCACTCTCAGCACATTGCATGGACTCCTCCCTGTAGAGCCACTGTCATGGAAGCATAAGTGGCGTCAGCCTCCCACAGCATCCCCTCCTTCAAGAGAATTGGAACAAAACTCCAAAACACACACATTGCTCCATGACGTGCACAATTCCAAAGTTTGGTTTGCACGGTGTGCTGACACTGCTCCATTATTATGCTCCTATTGGAGTGGATCTATGTCGTTTTACCACCGAACTCCGCCGTTAGCCTCAAGCGTGGCGTGTTGCGCATCCCCCGCTAGCGCTGGGGGTGGGCTCTGTCGCGCTGTTGGCCTCAGAGACTTGAGGCGAAGACTCTGAGTTTGATGGAAATGGCTTTCATTGAAAGGGGTGAAAGTAAGCCAATTGAGAAGCTGTGACTATGACACCTTCACTCATGGAGCAGCTAGCAGCTAGCACAGGTGCCGGCTTATATGCGTCTTGAGATTCACATGATGAGTTGACTTTCTGCAAGGTGCCATGTGTGCTTGGAATTGTGGTTTGCTGCCTGGCCGCACCCCAACCTCGCCGCATAGCTGATGCTTCGCTAGATTCGCCAGAGATGTCAGAAACTTTGTCCACGACTGCAAGCCATCCTGCCAGGGGTCCGGACACATTCATCAGGCTCCATCAGGATCCATAAAACGTAAAAGAAACAGTTGTGATCAGGATTTTGTGAGGGTACGTGAGCATAGTGAAAAAACCATTGTTCATCTGAGAGGCCCACACCAGGTCAGAGTCATAGCGTACTTCTAATTTCCAGGTGGGAGCCAGGTTTTTGTGGATTTGCACAGCATGATGCAGGTTCGCAGCCCAACCGGCCCCGGTGATAGAAAGGCGAGCACATGTGAGCATCTCCTGCCGCGCACGCAAGTTCAGTTGTGTTAAGGGTCAGGGTAGTTTGCAGAAGGGCCTGAACATGCATTCCCAGGTGAGATGTTGAAGGCATGCAGCATGCACGGCCTGGCAGGACCAGCGGAGCGTCTGGCCATGGTGATTCTGATGATGACGAAGATGATGAGGCCGTCGTGGAGCTGTTTTTGATTCCCATCAGAATCCATAGTTGGGCTGATTTGGTAGAGGTTTTCTCACGGATGACTCCGCCCTCCAGGTCATTGACATCCAACCATTTGTTCGGCCACGCCGGGGTGGTGTCTGTGCTGAGCCTTGGATCCAGGGCTACTTCAAGGAGCCCACTGGGGCCGGCCCAGTGCCCCAAAAGCATGTTCTCACTGCAAGCTAATTGATGGAACCACATGCAATAGCTTAAAACACTGTGCAGGAGAAGTACTGGACCAAGCACGAAGCTTGGGAGACGATCTTGAGAGAAGTGATGAGGCCAGGCATCGACTAAAATCAGGTGACCCCTTTGTTTGGTTACTTGAATTTTGCAATTCACTGGTCGCCAACTGCCCTGGGCACACATCACCTTTGCAGGGAAGCCACTGTATTCAAGCAGTTCGGAGACAAGGCCCATGTTCAACTGCTTGCGAGATGTTCCGAGGTTACATTTGGTGTGCGAGATGTTCCCTTTCAGCTTGTTGCACCGACCGGCATGCTTTTCGCGACGCCAGGATCTAGAGCGGTTTATTCGGCCGATGGACTGCGGGGGTGGGGATGGCGCTGCAGGAACAGGGGGAAGAATCGACCTTCCCCCCGGGTGTGTGTGGGGGGAACTGCGACAGCTGAACTTGTAGATAAATTTGGGACGATGTGGCGGGGCGACAAAATGTTCTTATCTTGCGATCCACGATCCATTCAACCTTGTGATTCACCTCATGGGCTCTGGCGACAAGACACACGGAAAAAAAGGACGCGTTTCAAAACCGAAAATCGAAAGACGACAAGTAAAAAAGCACAGGTTTTTGCTCACGCCGTGCATGTTGCCCTACAAGCCAATAGCGGGTCGGATGAGTGATGGTATGACGCAACAACGATTGTATAAGGTAATATGCCAGAAGTATGCGCCAGCTTCATTCATCACCATCAATCACAAGGGTTCATCATGTTGCCATTTAGTAAGTGTGGATCCAAACAGATTGCGTTCAGCTCCCGCTCCCAACAGATAGATAGATAGATAGATATATGTATTGGGGAGCTTTGCATCTGCCAAAAAACACCTGTTATTGACAGTGTTTCATATACACCGGAAAGCAAAAACCAGGTTGACGTTGCCAAAGCCCCTGCTATGCAGCGTGAGCAGAAGCCACTGCAAATAGCGATGTTTTTGAGCTTGCTGTGGCCCAAATTACAGTGTTTTTGGACCTGCTGTCTAAAACACCGCAATTCGCGACTTTTTCAACGACATGGTCGCCAAAAACACTGGTACTTGCGAGGTTTTTTGCATGTCCGTGCAAAGACGTCAAGCCTCGGCAATGTACAAAAACATTGTTTTTGCCCAACAAAAACGGCGAAAGCCGTCACCCAAACAGCTCCGAAGTCACAAAATCTGGTCCCCCGGCCTCCCGACAAGACACTCTCACTATCTCTCACTCACACTCACATTCACACTCACACTCGCCCACTCACTCTCACACTCACACTCACTTTTCACTCTCACCCTCTCGCCCTCACTCTCACACCCACACCCACACTCACACTCACACTCACACTCACCCACCCACCCACTCACTCACCCACCCACTCACTCACTCACTCACTCACTCACCCACTCTCTCACTCTCTCACTCACACGCGCAGTCACAATCACCAACCGCCGCCACTATCACCACGATCTCCACTTTCATCACCACCATCACCTCTCTGCGCCCCAATGTGTCTAGATCTCTAGACTTTCTGCTGCTACACCTCTAGACCTCACACACACTGTTTGGGGTCTCTCGCCTTATAAGGGATAATTAATGGAGTGTGAGTGTGAGTGTGAGTGTCCGTGTGAGTGAAAGTGTGAGAGAGTGAGAGAGTGAGAGTGACTGCGAGTGAGTGAGTGTGAGTGCGAGCGAGTGAGTGTGAATGCGAGTGCGTGTGTGAGAGCAAGAGGTGCGCGTTTGAGACACAGAGCGCTGTGGCCGCCACGAAATCTGCACTTCGAGGTTCACAAAGCGCTGTGCCTGCCACGGAATCTGCACTTCGAGGTTCACAAAGTGCCTCGCCTGCCGCGACATCTGCGCTTCGAGGTTCACAAAGTGCTGCGCCTGCCACAAAATCTGCACGTGGAGGTTCACAAAGGCACGAAGTGCTGTGCCCGCCACGAAATCTGCACTTTGAGCTTTACATAGTGACATAGTGCTGCGCCTGCCACGAACTGCACTTCGAGGCTCACAAAGCGCTGGGCCTGCCACGAAATTTGCACTTCGAGGTTCACAAAGTGCTATGCTTGCCACGAAATATGCACTTTGAGGTTCGCAAAGCGCTGTGCCTGCTACGAAATCTGCACTTCGAGGCTCAGAAAGTGCCTCGCCTGCCACGAAATCTGCGCTTGGAGGTTCAAAGCGCTGTGCCTGCCATGAAATCTGCACTTCGAGGTTCGCTGCGCCCGCCGCGAAATCTGTACTTTGAAGCTCACAAAGTGCCTTGCCTGCCACGAAAACTGCCAACGAGCCACATGTCCAAAAGCGCAAAATCTGCACTTCGAAGCAAAACCGCTCCGATCCCCCGCGCGTGTCACGAATAGTCGACTTTGGACCACCAAAGCACGAGGTTTCCCTCGCGCCTGCCGCGAAAATTGGCCGCCATGTGCGAAAATGCGTGCGGCGCCACAACGAGAGCGCAGTCGCGACAACGCCCGCCGCGGCCGCAGATTTCGCGAGCCTGCGCAGCTGAAATGCGCGTCGAGGATTTCGAGAGGCATGAATGTACTGTAAATAGCAGCGAAATGGCCGGACACGCCCACGCGGCACTGCGATCTAAGCACAGCTGCTTGACTACTACCGTAAGAACCCCTAAGTGTTCACACTGTTTGGGGAAAAAAGCAACGCGTCTCAAAACCGAAAATCGAAGACCAAACGGCAAAAAAAAATATTTTTCACTTTTCTCTTGCCGGTTCCGGGCGGGCGCATGCACGAACTAGTCCATTCCGTGCTATAAAAACAGTGTTTTTTGAAGTCCGCCGTCGCGACCTATCAAAAACCCATTGTTTTCACCAAAAAATGCACCCTGCCAGGTAAGCCTGTACCTTACAGTTGTTTATGCCATCCGGATGATCGCGCCCTGAGCCCATGCAACTGTATATCATTTTGTTGTACAGCAAAGCTGTCGCTTCTATACAGCTATTACTTATCCTGTGCATCTACGCCATTCATCCAAGTCAGCGCTATATAAAGGGAGGGGTGGCGCTCAGAACTCTTGAAGTAGGGGGAGGGGGGGTACTGTGAAGTCTTCTTGAGGTGACTAAAGGAAAAAGTTGTGAGCGCCCCCCCCTACGTTGTGAGCACACCCCATCAAAGGGTTGAGCAAGTCAAGTTTATAAACCCAGTGGTGAAGTTTATATACTTTGTTTTTGCTGTGCTACTTCTCAAGGTTTTAGCTTCTTGCGCTTGTCGTTTTGATTTGCCATGTGGAGCCTCAACACTATACAAGCAGAAGGTGATCAAATCAATGTGGCATTCGAACGACAAGATCTATATGCGCTACTTACTCCACTTACTCCTTCACCTGCATCTTCTCCTCAACCTGTGCCCACGAAGGATAACATCCGGACCAAAATCGAGAATGGTGAACTGGCATGCGGCGTGTCATCGTAAAGAACGGATCTTGATCTTGGAGAATCCTAAATGGATTCAAAGTGAGATTGGTGCCATTCAGCGCGGGTTGCGCTTGAAGTCAGGGCTGAAAGGCATGCGCAGAAAAGGCTTGAGGCATGGCTAGCAAAGCCAAGCAAACAGCTGCAGCTTTGTGATCAACCAGAACCCAGCGAGACAGCAAAGCAAGCGTCACCAGAACCCAGCGAGACAGCAAAGCAAGCATCCAACAACAGCAATGCGAGCGCATACACTTCCAGCTCTGACAGCTCCAGCGGTGACAGGTCGGGCAACAATGATGATGAAAACAATGGGGATGTCGCAAGAAGTTTGTTGACTATGACACAAAGCTTGACTCGACGGGAGCAAGCCCTTCTCGCAAAGCCCTTGGCTTCTCCTGAAGAGAAACAGTGTCCCGTACGTGGGGAGACACATGATCGTTGGCGACTTCTTCACGACCCGCTCCTACGACCTGCAGCTCCTACCGTGCACAGCCCAGCCGCTTCATCTTCATCCCGTCCAGCAGCAAGACCCCTTCGCTCCCCAGCAGCTGTGATGAAGGCTGTCTTCAATAAGAACAAGCGAGGAACTGACAAAGATGCCCGCTCTAGTGGCCGATGGCTCTTTGCTACAGTGCCTGTTGGACGCAAGGCAGAAAGGTCACGCGTGAGAACGGCGAGAAGAGGTTCACCTTTTGCATTCTTCCAAAGCTTGCAGTAGACAACAAGTCAAGGGGCAAAGCTTCGATGAAGCAAGCCATTGAGATTTGCATCTCCAAGAATGCCTTTGTAGTTCATGACTCATGAAAAGCTTCAATGGCAGCCATCAAGGATCTTGGCCTCAAGCCCCACCTGTGAACCACTCTGTGGGTTGGAGGGGCACTAACGCGGGCTTCCACGCCAACGATATCGAAGCAGAATTTGCGGGGCTGAAGAACATGGTTAGGGAAAGGTACGGCCGACTATCTTTCCAGACTACATCCAAGAATTCTGACACAGACTCCATCGATGCCGGTGACCTGTACGAATATGCCTGCCGTGTCAACATCGGGTCAAGTTTTGAAGCCACTCTGAAAGCGTCGTCTGGTCTCACCTGTGTACAGTCAAGGCACAACCGAATGGCAATTGTCTGCTTAGCGTTTCGTGCGATTGTGAGCAATAATTGCTCTCAAGCTTATTATGGCAGGTAATGTAGAACCAAATATAAAGGCAGACTCTTGATGTACTGCTGTGGTGCTTGGGGCCCAGAAAACGCGCAGTGCCTATATATATTTATATATATATAAAGATATGTATACCGACTAGCCTAGGTGTGAAGGCCCAAGAACGAGCACACAGCTGCGGCTGTCGCCTGTTTCGCCTGGTGGTTTCCAGGAGACGCACCTGCGCTACGACGGTGAAGTCTTCGCTGAAGAGGGTGAGCGTGCCGACAGCTTATACGCACGGGGGCCTGGTTAGAAGTCTTGGCCCACAGACGGCAAGCCCGGCAGGATCAGAAAACAGCCAGAGAGTGAGCGCACTGGCTCGACAACAATCCTTCCATTTCCCCCAGACGCAGAAACGGGGATAGATAAAACTTTGCCACCTGGAATGTGAGCTGCCTATTAAGGGCTGCAGCTAGGGCGTGGCTCTTGCGAGAGGAAATTGTGGGTGTGGAGTTTGGGGTTTTGGAAGGAGCATGAGGCATAGGGTCACGCAGATGCCGCAGGTTGTGCTCGAGGGAACTCTTGCCTGTTACCAAAGCGGGGGAGCTCGTTGGGTGCTGGGGATGAGGAACAAAAAACCCATGTTGGGCCCACAGTCCGTCGACAGGAACACAGTTTTCATCAATCTTTGCTGATGTCCTGCCCCTTTATCACCACCATTCTACCATGCTTTTGAGATATTTTCAGACTAGTCTCAATATGGTCTTGCATGCTCATGGTACCAAGTCCATTCACAGTTGCTCAGCTACACACACATTGCCGGATGTGCCCCGGATGTGCCTTGGCCCCTTGACTCACAGGTGGAAAGGCGGAGCCTGTGGCACGAAAGACACAGGGAGCGTTGCTGGATGAGGTGTTGTCATGGGCATTCCGCCCTTGCGAAGATACTCGTTTTTGAAATGTGCAGCCCAGCTGCGAGACTCGGGCATGGAGCACCAAGACTAAAGCAACACCCTCTCCCACCTTCCGAGCCAACAGAGCCATCACGCGCTAGCAATTAGGGTGGAGGCCATTGCTATTAGGTTGGAGGCCATCGCTAGTAGGTGGGAGCCCACCAAGACATCCCATGTCCACGAAATGAGTGGGTCGCTTTGCAGGCAGCAGTGCTCTTTGCATACCCAAGGAGATACTTGATGAAGGCACGGACATAACCTACCTGGCATACCCGTTGCTGTTGACTGCAGGCAGTGTAGCATCTGAGCTTTGACACATATTTTTCGTTATTTTTCTTTGTGTGTGTCCCTTCATCCCTTGGCTGCGTGCATCTAGATGTGGCGTCCCTGTCTCCGTCTTGATTCAGGCAGAGGGTGAATGCATTGTGGCCAAGCTGACCCACAGTGAATACGTGTCTCGACAGCCAAACGTGAAGAAACGTGAAGAGGTGGTTGTTCACCCTTCAAACAAGGAAGGTTGCCCCGCTGTCACCACTGCCATGACCTTTCAGCATTTCTCATGCCTGCATTGCTTGTGATCATTTGTGATCCAAAGCTGCTGTGGATAGACTGGTGGCCTACGCTGCCTGCCACCATTTCTCAAAAAATACCGAAACCAAATAGCCAGTGGCGATAACTTAAGTGCCGGTGAAAACCAATGATGGCTGCGACTTATGACATGTTGCTTCAACTTGTTGCATTTTCTTGCTGCTTGTTGCATCGAGATGTCAATAAGCATAAATCAAGTGAAGCACAAGATGCAATCCGAAGCAGAGATTCCGTCAGGATCAAACTTGCAAGTGCTACAAGCCACATGTGTCTCCAAACTCTATCTTCCAAGCACCTTGCAAATTCCCTGTGGTCTGAGGTAACTCTTTGCACGCGAATGGCCTTCCGCGCCAGATCCAGGCTTTTCCTTCATAAACTCATACGCCGTTTGCCACTGGCTTTGCTCTACGGAATCCAAGTTTGGATTGTTCGGCGCAAGATGCGCAAGAAGTGAGCCCCACCAAGCCTTGAGCCATGCCAGGTACAAACACATGTTGAAGAACTCCAAAATGCCACATGGTCTGAACAGTGGCGTTGGGCAGAAGAGGGAAAGAGGGGTCTTGCTGCGATGACCTTGGAGACCCTGCATGAAAGGCTTAACCCGCAGCTACCTTGAGCGTTAGGAACCCTGAGGAGATGAGGTGTCAGGCATCCAGCCTCCTGCAATGAACTCCAGCGGGTGCAGGTGTCATAGGTGGTTTCATGCTTACAGGTTTGGTTGCCACTCTTGCATAGTAGACGCTCCCGAAACCTGATCTCCTGCCTGGCCTTGATTGCAGACCAGCTGCTGAAGATCTAAACTAAGGTTGGAGATGATGGAAGACGAGGCAAGATAAAGCCAGATACCATCAAGAAGGATGTATATCAACATGTTACTGACGTCTTGGAGTCGCGAAAAACATCAATGTACACACACACACATATATATATATATACTGTACATGTATGTATATGTATATGCATATGTGCATGTATATATATATATATACAAAAAGGTTTTGCGACTGCTATATTTTTGTCCACTTGCCGCTTCGTTAGAGATACAACGTCAGGCATTGGAGAAGCTCTGCGATGCCTTCACCCTCCGCAGGCAAGTCAAACAATGGACATCCATGTGAATCCACGAGAGAGCTTGGGTGCCCGAAATAGTTGCACATGTGTGGCTGTGTATTAGGTGGCCGCCGCAGGCCATTGAGCCCGAATCAGAACGTTTCTATCCGGCACTGTCAAGCCGGATGGTGCAGGTACCAAGCTGGTGACAACATTGTGACCCAGGGCGAGTCAGGCCTGATCAGAAATCGGAAGATTGGTTCTCCATGGTTTTTTAATAGGCCAAACATTAGCTTACCCAGCACTGATCTAGCAGCATGTGGTCAAACGTATGATCCTGCAAGTCAGTCGACTGGTGCCACAACTACAAGAGTGCGAGGTCAAGAGTTCTACCTCATCACGTCTGGTACTGCTCGTGTGTGGGTGAAAAGTGGCGACGATGAGCAGGAATACGTATCCTGGCATCAGTGGAGTGGGGTCTGCAGCTTGTGGTCATTCCTGGGAATCCAGGAAACCCTGTTTCTTGCTTTGACATGAGGGTGGGGTGGGTGAAGAACGAGTTATATATATATATACAGTATATATTTATATATATATATATGTGTGTGTGTGTGTGTTTCTTTTTTTTTTTTTTTATCATGTTGCATTCAGTGCAGCTTTCTGAATGGTATTTGATTCCATAGGCTTTTCTCTATGAATGATGTCACCTCACCTCTCCTAGATTGCTAGAGTCATAGATTCCTACATCACTTCTCCTAGGTGCGCCTCCAGAAAGGAAACCTCTTCGGTGAGCGTGCCCTGCTCAAGAATGAGCCACGTGCTGCCTCAGTGACGGCTGTGACGGAGGCAGGGGTGCCATCATAAATAAGGGGCCATCCTGAATTCAAGCAGTGGAAGGCTTCTTTTGACCAATTGTGCGGGGAGTTTGGCATTAGAAGCCTTTCCTTGTTTGGACTCAAAGGGTGGGAGAACGGAAATGAGAGAAGGAGACTGAATGACTTGCGTTCTTCGCTGCCTTCACTCGTTTGAGTTGCTTTGTTCTTCGCTGAAGTCAGAAGTCCTTTCTTAACCGTCCAATCCCATCAATGTTCAGTCAAGTCGTGCTTCCCGCAGCTTGAGCGGTCTGAGCAGCCACACCTGTGCCAGCACTCTTTAGTCAACATGGCTGATGCAGTCCGAGTGACAAATATGGCTGGTGCTGTGATTGTGGAGCTGCAGCCTGTCCCCACGAAGCTGCAAGAACTCAGAGAGGAGATTGAGAGAGCCAGTGGCATCCCCATAGCGCTTCAGAAGCTTGTGAAGGATGGGGCAGTGATCACGCTGGATGCAGAACTTGGCACGGAAGGTTGTGATCTCTTGTGTGTAACAGATGAGACCCCCATGTTCACATGGGATGCAGCAAATTCCGGCTCTGATCAATTGAAAATCAAGGGCGGTGTGGTCCGCTCACCGGGCTTGAGGGGGGGACTATTGCAATGTCTTGACCCAGGAACCCATTCGGAGAGGCATTCACTACTATGAGTTTGTCATGCACCATGTAGGTGATGAACAGTGGTGCGGTGTTACTATGGATCACGCGACGGCCGGCTCTAGATTTGATGGCCGAAGCTTAAATGCTTGGACGTACTATTGTGGTCGTCAACGTTCCAGCGGGGGAAGCATTAAGGACGGCAAAGGTGCTTTGCATGCACAAGGGAAGGCGATTCAGGAGTTTGAGAAGGCCTGCGCGCCGGGGAACGTCATCAACATGTTGGTGGATGCTGATGCAAGGGTTCTGGCATTTGCCCTGGATGGCCGCGTGCAAGGGGCTTGCAAGATTCCAGGTTCTGAGGCCTTGTATGTCATGACGCACATGGACACCCGAGAGGATCACGTGGAGCTCCGGAAGCCGATGCTCGAGGACTCTCCCAAGGAAGTGTTGGAGGCTTTGACAGGTGCACTGCTGGACATTGAGAAAGGTGAGAAGCTCCATGGCTGGTGTAGATCCTTCGATGGGTCGGACGAGCACTGAAGGGGCACTGTGTTTTGACCTTGGAGCTTGTACAGTTATGGCTCTTTTAAGGGTGGTGAACTGTGGCTACTCGATCGGAGGTCAAGCCAAATGCGCAGGGGCTGAGTTGGGGAGAGTGGGTCCTTTGGGTTGGGACCTGCGGGCTTTCGATGAGATTCGCTTTCGATCGCTCTCAATGGAAGGTGGAAGTCTTGGTGCTAAGCCGTGGGAAGTTTGAGCGTTTGCTGGGCTCCATGGACGACTTGCAGCAGTGTGGAAGCCCAGAGATTTGCCTTCTTCGGATGTGGGTCCCATACCGAATCCCATCGCCGGACCGATTGACCGTCAGCTCTTGGCCCTAGGGTTCGACAGCCCGACAGCCCTTGGACCATTGACCCATAGCGACCGCTTCGCCTGTTCAATTACGATGGCATCGTAGTTCAAGGGGCCCTGGCATCCTGAGCATCACCGTTTCCAGTCATTCGGCCACCAGGCAGCAGTATCTTACAGATCCCAGAAAGCTCATCGCGGACTTTTACCAGGCACGGGAGGGGTTGGCCGAGCCACGTCACAAGAGTTAGTTGGCAAAGGACTTGAGAGGTCGGTCCTCCTGCTTAGATCAACTCCTTTCAGTAGCCGTTTGTCGCATCCTGCAGGTCATCATTGTTCCACGTATTGCTTGCCACAAATGTTGAGGATTTGTTGCAGATGCTTTAGCTGTTGACTGTGTGCTTTGAAGTTGATCTTGTGCTGGTCGTGCAAGAAGCGGCTCCCACGAACCAATCTTTCCATGGTCATTCGTTTGGAGAATGAAAAGCCTCGGCAACTCCAGGTAGATGTTTAAAGGCACCAGACCCAACCAAAACGATTTCATACATACCATTTCATGTTGACACATTTGCATTGGTGTCGGAAGATGTTGGAAGTTTGATCCACTTATGACATGCATTCTCAATGACCCTTGCTCGCAGAATGGTGATAGTCGTGGGCCTGGCGGCTCGATTGCGCGCCACAAGATGAAAGGAACAGAGGGTGGCTTGGCTGCTGGTTCTCCATTGGTTGAGTGAGGTGGGGTTTTGACAGCCAGATGCCACGCGCTTGACAACCACGATCATCTCCATAAGCAGGGCAACCTTGAAAGCATCGCCTTCACCGAAAGCACTGCACCGGTTGATTTTTGCACTCTTGGCAGTGACTCAGGTGTAGAGACACAGTGGTTTGTGGTGTATCGACCCACGAGCAAGGACTGCCTGATGGATCCTGGGGTCCAGCTTTCGGATTCAACAACCAACTGCTGCAGGATGCTATTGCAAAGATGCTGTCAGGGGCGGCTGTGGGCAAGGGATTGAATGTATCCCGGCGGATCACGCGTTGGAAGGTTGTGCTTTCGACATTTTGCACGGTAGAGCTACCTGAGAGCTTGAATGCCACATATCTAGGCTGGTGGCCAGTTGCAGCGAAAACTGCCTGCAGAAGGGCAAGCTCAGGTGAAGGGGAAGTCAGCCAAGAAAGGCGTACTTTCTGGCTTCGTGCCTTTCGTCCAGCTTCTTGGATGACATCCGAAGTGCTGCTTACGGCGCCTATTTTGGTGTATCAACTTGCCTAGAGCCTAGAGACTCCATTTGTAGGGCACTTGGAGACCATTTTATTCATCAGGGGTGTGAACCACCAAATCAACGAGAATTCTGTATGCCCAAAGCAGGTATTTAGCCAACATGGCAGACACATATCCATACACACCTGGCAGATCCTGGCAGAGGGAGTGTGACAGATGGCGGGCGATTCTTTGGCATTGTGGTGCGGGGTATGTCCTAACTTGGCCCACCGATGAGGCAAGTGATGGGTCGGCAAAAGCACAGCACAGACTCAAACCTATCTTCTGTTCAGCCAGAGCCAATTTTAGATGCTCATTGGTTGACTCATTCCTTCCCCTTAAGGATTAGCGAGAACGAGCACAAGAAGATCATTGAGGATTCCCCTCCGGATTCCAGAATAGTAGTGTGCGCCGCGCAGTGGACGGGTTTTGAGTCAACGTCAGAAGCACAGCCGAACCATGTCATGCTTCCAAAACCAGGTTCCAATTCAGCTATTGTATCTCTTCGACTTCGAATTCTTTGACAAATCTACAGTGGTCTTTCATATAGTTTCCATTGTAGAAAGTGTCCGCACAGCGCACGGATGAGTTTTTTTTGAGCCCGGCAGGTACTACAAAACCAAAGCAGCTCGAGAAGAAGCCCGCAAGGCTTGCTGCTTGCTTGCTCTTGATTCTGTGAGTACAGCCTACGACACCCAAGAGATGGAAAGGGTGAACTCTGTTTGAACCTTGCGATGCCAATATATATATATATTTGGAATTTGGATGTGAAAACCATCGGGGAAACCCAGTGCAGATTGGCTGAAAACAGGGTTCGGAACGCTCGATGGTCGATGACATTGGTGTCGAGGCACTCCAAGCGGTTTTGGACACAGCGCACCACCTCAAGATTGAGATGCGAAGCATTGTGGATGAGGACGCGCTGTTTTGCGACCGCCGGGGAGAAGTCTTGTGGGACGGCAACAAGTTGAGTGGTACAGATGATTTATGGTGTGTCTAAGTTATGCACTGTACTTCTATTGGTGGGAGGGTGCTGGTCCCCATCCGAACTCTCCAACAACATCGCTGGAGAATGGGCCAGGACTCCTACAAACCCGATGTGTGTCTAAGCTGCGTGGAGAATTTGAAGACCAGGATCACTGCTTGTCATTGAATATATATATATATATATACCGTATATATATATATATTCCTATCCCGGTGTGCAGCAGGCCTCGATGGCCATCCATTCGCAGGGATCGTCTGACTTTTTATGGTAGTATATCTACATAATATACATATCTACACCTTTTTCCTGTAGCCTGATTCTTTGTGTCTTCGGTGCGTTGCTATGAACTTTGGACCCATGGCCCATGGCAGTACGTCTTTGTTTAACAAATTGAAGAGAAAGCTCTAAGGTGGGGACTGGAGATGCCGGAGCCTTTGATGCGTGAGGCAAGCTTTGGGTAGTGAAGAAAGACCTGGGAGCCCTTCATTGAGTACAGCAAGATGCTTTTTCCGCTTTGCGCTATTAGTCTAGTGATGTGGTTGTCAGATGCCGCAAGATGGTCTGGCTTTGGCATGCAGGGTTTGCGGCGACTTGCTGTTCCGAGCTAGCCAGGCGTACATCATTCAAAAGGACATTTCACCGGTGCCTTGGCTCTTTTTATTTACCAGGCTACCGCCTGCCTCTATGTTAGCCCTTAAGCCTTAGCCTTAGCCTAGCCTTAGCCATAGCCTTGGCCTTAGCCTTAGACTTAGACTCAGACCTTACTTTTTTACCTTTCCGGACCCGGGGTTTGTTGTAAAGGGGAGTTGTAGGATTTCCCAGGTATGCGTAGAACATTGCGAACCTATTTTCTTCCATTGTTGTAGAATTTTCTAGGACTTCCTCTTGTGTTTAGGTTCCCAGATTTCCCCAAAAATTGATTAATCTATTGTTAACCTACTTGATTCTAGTGTTCCCGGCAAATGCCCTGGAATGATCCTAGGAATGCTCTAGGCTTTGTTTAGACTTTGCGCTGGACGAGGTCCGGCCAGTGCCCGTGGTAACGTGAAAAGCTCTGGTAAGATTTTCGCATGCCTGTCAGGCGCCCGTGTCCGCGCCATGTGGCGTGTTGGTTCTAGGACGGAGCAGCGCAAACGGAAGCTTGGGCAGGTGGTGGCGAGGTTCTCGCGCCAGCGAGGGAAGAGACCGTAGCCATGTACATGCGGGCGGCACGCGCGCGTGGCGGAATGTCTGCAGTGCGGTAGGCCGGGGGGGGGGGGGGGTGGGGAGGCGGGTGGTTCCACGGGGGGAGGAAGGACGTTGCCCTGGATGTGGGGAGGGTAGGGTTTCCTGGAGCACCCCTGGAGCAAAATGCAGGAGCCGAGAAGAGCCCCCGTCACCCAAGTCGTCGGGTGAGAGGCAGCCACCGGCTGTGTTATGCGTTTCCTGGGGGAGAAGGGCGCTGCCCATGGTGTTCGCTAGGTCGCTTCAGCCAGCGAGGGCGTTGCCCATGTATGTCCCCTTATGCAGGCCACGGAAAGCTGCTCGGTGTAGTGGTCGTGGGCGGAAAACGCCGGCGCGCAGTGCTTTGGCAGGCTGGCGGAAGCCGACGGCTGCCGGAGCTGGACGAGGCGCGCAAGGGATGTGTAGTGGAGTGTGGAGTGAAGCTAGGGGATGCGAGCGCCGGGGTGCGAGGATCGGGTTTAGCGCGGGCGGAGCGTGAGTTGGGAGTTACCGGCAGCACTTTTGGCTGGAGAAGTGTGGTTGCGATGGTTGCTGATGGTCCAGGGGCAGCTCGCGGGAAGGGACTGGACCAACGGTCGAACCTTGGAGGACCAGTTGGTGCAGGGAAAGCTGTGGGCTGAGGAGCGGCAGCTGTTTGGGGTGGCTCTATGTGTGTCGTGGGGCACATGGCCGAGAATGGAGGGATTTGCTGTGGTGGCCTGTGGCGAGAGCTTCGTGCTCCCCGGCGGGCAGACCTCGAGGAGTGTGGATGCGGCGGCACAGGGCGCTGCCCATGGAATAGGGTACAATTCAAGGGCCACGATTGTGTTGCTCGTGACCACCACGGGCATGTTTTGTGACAAAGCTTCGTGGAGCATCGTGTCTCGCCAGAAGGGCTCGGTGCTGCAGCCGGGGCGGAACAGGAGCTCCTGCGGGGCAATCTATGTGTTCTCGGAGCTTGGTGGCAAGGTTGACAGGAAGGGGCAGGGGCAGCATGAGGGGCATTGGTCTGTCGCACAGGCGCGGCAACAGAGGATCTGGTACACCGGAGCTGGAAGAGTGGGTTCGCGGGAGATCCGAAGCGGGTGGAGCGACAGGGCGCTGCCCATTAGACTGTGCGGCAGACCTGCCTGAGGGCCGAAGTGGTGGCTGTGAAGGAGAACAAGGATGAGATGTGTGCGGGACAGCAGTGGGTCGTGATTGATGACCATGGCGTGACTTGCAGGATGCAGGCGGCGCTGAGGTTGCTGCAGAGGCCGGAGGAGGTGGCTCATAGAGCGAAAATGTTTCGCGACATGGGGGCTGATATCTGGACTAGACACAGTCTGGTGCAGAAGGCGGTCGCAACAGGCAGCACGGATTGGGAGGATGCGGCCGAGGAGACGATGCTGCACTGTGTCCAGATCTGCTACAATTCAGCCGCGAGAGTGGCCTCCATGAAATATACATCAGCTCGGGCGATGGGATATATGAGCCGCCAGCAGCCGCAAGTGGGGCTCACGACGCGCTGGAGCAGGAAGCTGGCAGTGGAGCGGGATCGTGGCCTGGAATGTGGAGGAGGTGGCAGTGTCTAGGGCGCTGCCCATGGCCGCTGCAGGAGTGGGCTAGGGGCAGAGGACGCGGACCTGCCCCCAGGCGGAGGCATTCGCTGCTGTCGGAATCCTGGGGGCGCTTTGTCGTCCAGAACCTGCGGGGCCAGGCCCACGGAGCAGCATACTAGAGGAGCTGGAATGATAGATGCTCTGTCGAGGGCCGTGTCTATAGGGCATGGTCCACCGCAGCAGGGTTGAGCCAGGCAAAAAAAGGAAGCTGGGCGGCAGGAGCCGCGGCGCAGGGCCGTGCCCATGGTATAGGGTACAATTCAGGTGCTGTTCTAAGAATTTTCTAGCATTTCCTCTTGTTTTTGGGTTCCCAGATTTCCTCCAAAAATTGTTAACCTTTTGCCAACCTATTTTGTGCCAGTGTTCCCGGCCAATGCCCGTAATTTTTCCTAGGAATGCTCTCGGTGACCACCAGGGGTAGGTTTTGTGACAAAGCTTCGTGGGAGAAGGGCGCTGCCCATGGTGTTCGCTCAGTTGCGTCAGCCAGCGGGGGCGTTGCCCATGTATGTCCCCCCGTGCAGTCCATGGAAAACTGCTCGGTGTAGTTGTCGTAGGCGGAAGACGCCGGCGCGCAGTGTTTTTTGGCAGGCTGGCGGAAGCCGACGGCTGCCGGAGCAGGACGAGGCGCGCAAGGGCGTCGCTTACTGCCCATGTCGGGTGCGTTGTGTTCTGCGCGCCGTGGCGGAGCAGGGCGCTGCCCATGGTAGACAGTAAACGCAATCAGCGAAAGAGCGCACGGCGCGCCGCGACCACCCCGGGATTTTCTAAAGTGGCTGTGCCGTCGCGCGTGGTGCGAGGTGTTTTCCAGCAGTTGCGCTGGTCCCTGGGTCGAGTCCCGAGGTGGTCGTAGCCTGCACAACCAACGGTAAGCGTGTTGCGGTGACCACGCGACCGGACCCACGCGAGAAGTAGAAGCACGGACAGAAGCAACACTGGAGTTGAGTCCAGGGCGTTGCCCAGGACGCGCAAGTTGTAGATACTCACATGGGAAGAAGTGCAATTTTGTGTAGGAGCGCGAATATTGGAGTCCGATGAGCATGAGTTCACCCGAGTCATTGTCCCCAACAACGACGTTCGCGCAGAGATTAACAAGCACCGTGCACGAGCCTTCGCCGCCAAGCGCGGACTGCAGCTGCTCTGGAACTTTGCACACGATCAGATACCGTTGGAACTTCTGGCAACAGACCCCCATTTAGCGCAGAGAAAGGTCGAATTTCTGCAGCGACACGATCGCGAGTGTGGAGATCTGCCCGGGCTGGTGCCCTTAGCTCTGGGCATGCCTATGCTCTTGAGTGATCATATTGATCGACCAAAGCTCTTGCTCCGTGGGTGCTTGTGCCATGTGGTTGGCTGGAAAGTCTCACAAGAGGAGACCGCGCTACCGAGCAAAGACGCAGAGGTTCCTGAGCTGCCACCGGACGAAACGCAGACGAGGTAGTGGCCTCGGCCGTAGCGCTAGCCTGACACCTGAGTTTAGACCCAACCCATCACCACCAAAGCAGATACCCAAAAAAGTCGACTTTTTGGGTACCTCCTAGATTTACCATCGGACGCCATCTCTTGCATGAAGCCCGTGATGCTGAACCCTTCTCCCCATAAAGGATATCATTGCCCAAGAGTTTACTCCCATCACCACCAAAGCAGGTGCATGAAGCCCGTGATGCTGAACCCTCCTCCCCATAAAGGATATCATTGCCCAAGAATTTAGACCCAACCCAGCACCACCAAAGCAGGTACCCAAAAAGTCGACTTTTTGGGTACCTCCCGATTTACCATCGGACGTCAGCTCTTGCATGAACCCCGTGACGCGTTGGGTTCTGCGGCCTGTGGGGCCGCAGGGCGCTGCCCATGGTCTATAGTACATTCAAGTGCCACAAGTGTCGGCGCCCGGACTTGTGCTGAATCGATCGGTTTCTCCCGGCGACCCAACCCATTACCACCCTTGTGCTGAATCGATCGGTTTCTCCCGGTGACCCAACCCATCACCACCAAAGCAGGTGCCCAAAAAAGTCGACTTTTTGGGTACCTCCCAGATTGATCATCGGACGTCATCTCTTGCATGAACCCCGTGATGCGGAGCCCTCCTCCCCATAAAGGATATCATTGCCTAAGAATTTAGACCCAACCCTTCACCACCAAAGCAGGTACCCAAAAAGTCAGACTTTTTGGGTACCTCCCAGGCTCCCAGGTTTACCATCACACGCCATCTCTTGCATGAACCCCGTGGTGATGATGATGCGTTCGAGTCCGCGTCTATATCCTGCTGTCCAGGCACACTCTATCGCCGAGGACCCCTCGCAGGCCAAACTGCAAAGGTGGGTTCCACGATAGAGGACTGTCTCTGTTTTTTTCAAAAGTCGACTTTTTGGGTACCTCCCAGGTTTACCATCGGACGTCATCTCTTGCATGAACCCCGTAATGCTGAACCCTCGTCCCCATTAAGGATATCATTGCCCAAGAGTTTAGACCCAACCCAGCACCACCAAAGGGTTCTGCGGCCTGTGGGGCCGCAGGGCGCTGCCTATGGTCTAGGGTACATTCAAATGCCACACGTATCGGCGCCCGGACTTGTGCTGAATCGATCGGTTTCTCCCGGCGACCCAACCCATTACCACCAAGGCAGGTACCCAAAAAGTCGACTCCGCGCCCGGACTTGTGCTGAATCGATCGGTTTTTCCCGGTGACCCAACCCATCACCACCAAAGCAGGTACCCATCGGACGTCATCTCTTGCATGAACCCCGTGATGCTGAACCCTTCACCCCATAAAAGATATCATGGCCCAACATTTGAAACCCATCACCACCAAAGCAGGTACCCAAAAAGTCGACTTTTTGGGTACCTCCCAGATTTACCATACGTGATCTCTTGCATGAACCCCGTGGTGATGATGATGCGTTCCTCACCGACGAGTCCGCGTCTGTGTCCCTCTGTCCAGGCACACTCTATCGCCGAGGACCCCTCGCAGGCCAAACTCTGTTTTTTCACGATAATCCTGTCGTTGTCTAAGGGGCCCCGTGTGTGGCCGGGAACACTGGCATAATAGCCAAAGGTTAACAATTTTTGGTGCAAATCTGGGAACCTAAGTCAAGAGGACATGCAAGAAAATTTTTGGAAAAGCACCCTCCCGAATAAACAAAGCCTAGAGCATTCCTAGCATCTAGTCGAAAACGTAACAAAATCTAAGTGCGGCCAAGAGTATTCCTAGGAAAAATCAAGGGCATTGGCCGGGAACACTGGCATAAAATAGGTTAGCCAAAGGTTAACAATTTTGGGGGGAAATCTGGGAACCTAAAGACAAGAGGAAGCGCCAGAAAATTCTGGCAAAAGCATCCAACCGAAAACGTAACAACATCTGGAAAAAGCCTAGAGCATTCCTAGGAAAATATTGGAAAAGCCTTTGAAAGTTCCATAGGTTAGCAAAAGGTTGCCAATTTTTGGGGGAAATCTGGGAACCTAAAAACAAGAGTCAGCGCTAGAAAATTCTAGGAAAAGCATCCAGCCGAAAACAGAACAAAATCCAGACAAAGCCTAGAGCATTCCTAGGAAAATGCTAGAAAAGCCTTTGAAAATCCCACAAATCCAACAGAAAACGTGACAAAATCTACGAAAAAGCAAGGGCATTGGCCGGGACTGCGCCGCGACCAGCCCGGGATTCGAGCCCGGGACCATTTTGGACCGTGCTTGTTTTCCCGCGCGGGTGGAGAGGGTGCCCCAAGATGTAAATATATTGGGATGGCAGAATCTTGGACAATCCAGGTCGCAATCACGTCGCTCTGAGGTCGCTTTTAGGCCGGGATTTCGTCACTGCAACAAAGGTCCGGAGGGGTAGGGGAGGTAAGGTCTAAGGCTAAGGCTACGGTCTAAGCCTAAGTCTAAGGCTATTTTCGGCTAAGGCTTAAGTCTAAGGCTAAGGCTAAGGGGCTAAGGATTAAGGCTAAGGCTAAGGCTTAAGCCTAAGGCTAACATCGACAGTCACGCCTCACCCCACGGTGTGGGGTTCTCTCTCTCTCTCTCTCTCTCCCTCTCTCTGTCTTAGCGGCTGGACTTCAGCACCCAAAGACTTTCTTGGCGTTCTTCCAGAGATTTCACGCGTTTCACGGTCCCCTCCCACAGCTCCAGAATTCTTGTGAGGTCATGGGCTGGGAGACTGGACGACGCTCTGAGCCGGCCTTCATGGACATGAACTTGTGCCTTGGCAATCCTGCAGTTCCGAACATGTGACACAGCAGCTGGAATCCAATATTCCCCTCACGGGACGAGTAGATGAAGTATCGACTGACATGGATCACGAAATCCCTTTGTTGTCACCCCCTCAGAGATCCGCAGCTTGAGCCACTGAGTGAAGTACTTGGATCCATGAGATATCAATCTGGAAGGATCGGATACAGATGGCGTGACTGGTGGAATGGTCCCGTGCACGGGCAAGAAATTTGTATTTCAAGACCCGACTAGAACTCCCTCCGAGAAGGTCCGGATGGCTTGCCTTTAATTGTAGACGTTTTCGGGGACAATGACAGGAAAGGAAAACGAAGGAAAGGCAACAGCTCACGAGGGGTACAGTTTGCGAGCTTGTCAAGCCGATGTTCCTTTCAGGCGATATAACGAGAGAGCTGCTGTTTTTCCATAGCTGTTCTTTGGAAAACACAGATCTGATGAAGGAAGCTATAGTATAGCAAAGACATGAAAGACAAGAAAGGAAAGAAGGGAACGAAAGGAAAGGACAGGAACATAACAAAAGAAAAAGGAACATAAAGCAATGAAAAGGACAGGGGAGATAAGAAAAGCAAAAGAGCAACAAACCAAAGGATGGGACGGAGGCTTGATGCAGCAGGGGGTTTTCCAGATTGCAGTTGCCTATTCTGGGGCGGGGTCATTTTTGGCGTAATTAAATTGCTACTGCGGACTTGATGGCTGTTTCAGACCCTACTTGACACGCCAGAGTGGCGGCTTTATGGATGGGATGCTGTAGGCGTTTGGACATGCTTTTTTTGGGGGATGAATTGAATGCGTCGCTTGCAGGCATGCCATTCGTGGCAAATCAGACCCGCAGGCTGGGATGAACGGAAATCCATCCTCATCGGTAATGGACATTGCCAAGCTGATGTTGTCTTTAAGTCTGTCGTGGAGAGAGTTTTTATCCAGTCAGCCTTGAACAAACACACACGGATATATGATATACTGTGTATATATATATCTATATTTACGTATCCGCATTGGGTTTCTCGAATCTTTCAGGTGGTGCTGTACCAGAACGATGAAGCAGATATCATGACCTTTGGCTGAATGTTCCTACCCAATTCTTTCAGGGAGCCTGACTGCAGATGATTTCCTCCGCTTGATTACTGGGAATCGTCCCGGTGATTTGGAGGTTCAGCTCACCTGGTATGTATGAAAGACTTGACCATTATTCTGCTACGCGGGGTTCTAAAATAGCAGCAGTTTGCCTTCTCCAGCTCAATCCAGTTTTCCCGTGCCCTTGGAGCGGCGATGCGAATACTGTAGGCGAATGCAAATGTGACAGAAGCTGAAAAGGGCCTAAATTGAGAGGTGCTGGTTAGAGGTTGGGTAATGTTGGATAGTGACGTGGTTCAGTTTCAACTGTTTCAACCTACCTGTACGAAAGGGCTGGGTGCCACGTGTGCCCAGGAATCCTCGTGGCTTGCTCATCGCCTATGCGGAGGTCTTTGTGAAGCCAGCACCGGCCCAAGGGAGATGCACCAAAACGAACCAAACCGATCAAGTCCAACCGAATGAAAAGAGCCTAGCCTATGCACAAGCATCATGATGGCCGGATCCTCCAGCATCTACAGCTTTGCCAGCCGCCAGCCAAGATCTTGGCGCTGGTGAGGTCGTCTCAGACTTTGACACCTTCACCGTAGGCTCCAAGAACATGGTCTATGAGTCCTTGCCATCTGAGCAGGCGGGGTACCCAGGGTGACAGAAACAAAAGCAGGACTTTGTGGCTTGCTTTGCGCAGTCTATCCTTAAGTTTAGAATTAGTTCCTCTCTGTCCAGCTCAAATTACAGGGCCGTGGGCCATAGTCGTCAAAGCGGTTGCTGCTAGGCACAGCTCATTCTCTGGCTGTTGGAGCACACGGAGGCAGCCCCGCTGTGTGGAGCCATGAACCTGCTCGTTTCTTCCATGAGATGCGGTGGATCTTGCCACCCTGCACCAAAAGGGGTGTACTGTAATTAATTGTCATGACTGTATAGATTTCCCCTCACGTTCGGTCCAGAGGCCATGGAGTCTATTTTTTTTCTGGGGCGAGCTTCACTGGTTCAGCCATGGAGTCCGCCAGGGGATTCTCAAGTCCTTGGATCACCAAAGCTGGAACTCCCGGTGGCTCGAAGTGCTGGCCAAGGAGAATGAGAGAGGATTCCATCCAGTGATGCTTGGGCGCAGGGCAAGTGGTGGGTCTAGGCCATTGGGCGCCCCTTAAGACATCAGAAGAGGGAAGGCGCACAAAAGAGCGCCCTTCGTTTGAGTCTCATGAGTTTTGAACACAGCAAGAAGTGAGTCACATCACATGCTGACCCATCCCTTGTTGCCCAAGGATTCCAAAGTTTGGTTTTGGCGATCCCACATCGTTCAGACCTCAGAGTAGGTTGTGGCCAAAACCACTCGGATCCGACGGCGGCAGTAAACGAGCATTTTTTGGACCAGCATGTCCATGTTGTGGCTGCTTTGCCCAGGTACACGCTGATCCAGGATGCTACTCACCTGCAAGACAGCCCCGTAGAAGCCCGGTGAATTGCACTATATAGAGGGAAGGAGTGTGTGACCACGTCTGCGAGGTGATTGCTGAAACGGCACCCTGTGGCGCAGTTCGTCATGGAGCGGAGTGCACCTTGGAAGCGAATGGGAGATGCAGCCGTCGTGTTGTGGTGGTAGCCTTGGGTCCCCAGCCCCTAAGCGCATGCTTTCTGGTCATTTCAAAAGGGCCCTTGCTGTCACCAGCTTTGGAGCTCGCCCCAGGCTGCAACCTCTACTTTCCGCAGGAGTGCTCCAGACTCTGCAGTGTTCAGTGGATGACTGTGAGCATTCTTTGGGCCTGTAAGTTCCAGTAGAGCTGTTGTGGCTGCTCAAGAACTGAACATTGACCAAACCCAAGCCTGTTTCTATCCTTCCCTCCATTGTCCACACTACCTAGCTCAGATGTGTCGCAATTCAGATCTTTTGGAAAGTGGCACTGCTGACAGGAGCTGGACGATGAATATTTGATTGTTTGGCAAGGCTTCACTGGAAAGCCCTGGGACTACAAGACGGAGGCCTGCTCGTAACACAGCAAAAGCCCAGTCCACTAGCCAATTGCACTAATTAATGCTATTTACTACGGGCATTGACGGCGTTTTGTGTTGTGGCGCCCATTCTCAGAAGCAGCAATACTCAACAACACCACACTGAAGATAATGGACGCGCTGAATCGCCATGCTGTGATTCGCAGGCCGGCCTGCGCGAGTTCCTCTTGGAGCGAGCCCAGCGCTTGGTAGAAAGGGTTGAGTGCCCAACTGACGCGTTTTTTGAACTTCGCAGGCCCTGCAGCCAACTTTCTGGGAAGTTTGCTTGCAAATCAAGCCAAGTGGTGAATAATGTTCTGTGCGCGTACATTAAACAAATATATATATATATTTACGAAAGCCAGCTGATAGGCTAGGCTTGAGCTCTTAGAGCGAACGAAGTGAGTTAAGGGGGTGTGGGGGGGGGGGAAGGTGCGAAAAGGCACCATTTGAGAGGGTGAACCCGGAGCTTGCTGAGGAGAGCGCTCCAAAGCGAGGGTCAGAAAAGTAGTGAAAATGGGGTCTGGTGATGCGAGTGATGCAATGGACGCCGAGTAGGGTCTGGAGACAATTTTTCTAGTCCTGAGCAGGGCATAGGGACTGCGTAGCTCTGATCATACCAAGAAGGACCAAGCAACAAAGAGTGAAAGCATGTCCAGTTGGGCGAGGTAGAGGCTTGGGGATAAGAGCGCCGCAAGAGGAGAAGCAAGAAAGCTGCAAGCGTTCAACACTTCATGCTGTGCTCCGATCTTGATCTCAGTCGCAGTGATACCAGCTCCACGAAACTACAAGCTTTCAACTATAGGTGCTCTGCTATTTTTTCCTCCCAGCCCTGCTTTCTATAGGGCATACCCGAAACACACTTCAACACAACCACAAAAGCCATTTCGGGCATCATTCTCCTGGTCTTCACTCACGCTTATTTATGCACGGACTCTCAAATAGAACACCAACAAGGGACGCTCCAGAAGGTGCCGCACCAAGCAAATCAAGAACACTAAAACCATTCAACACTTCATGCTGCGCTCCGATCTTCATCTACGTCGCAGTGATACCAGCTCCACGAAAACTACAACCATTCAAGAATGAGTGCTCTCCTCTTTTTTTCTCCCAGCCCTGCTTTTTATAGGGCTTCGCATTGATGCACGATGCCCGAAACACATTTCAAAACAACCAAAGACAACCTTTCGGGCATCCTTCTCCTGGTCTTCACTGTCGTTTATTTTTACACGGATTCTCAAGTAGACCACCAACCAGGGACGCTCCAGAGAGCACCACGCCAGGAAAATCGAGAACACCCAAAACATTAAACACTCAACACTTCATGCTGTGCTCCGATCTTGATCTACTCCGCGTTGATACAAGCTCCACGAAAGCTACAGGCATTCAACAATAAGTGCTCCGCTATTTTTTCCTCCCAGTCTTGCACTACTACCATATTGGTCTCTCGCTGGCTTTCGTCCTCTCCTTTCTCAGGTATATATATATATATCATTTTGTGTCTCTGCAGGTATTGTTTTTCCCCAAGGTGCATGAGGGCTATGCTTTTCCGATTAATCCTGTCTGGCCAGTGAGAGACCAGGGCTGGTGGGCTACTTGTCTGCAGAGTTCCAGTTTCCTCGAAGCACTCGAACTTGTTTTGCGATGCTTGCTTCGATTCTTGCGATGAGCAGAGAATCGCCGAACCTTCAAAAACCTCAGCATGTCTACTTCGACCATGCGAGCGCCAAGGACATCTTGCAGGCCATGTTGAAACAGGAGGAAGCCAAGAAACTCAGCTGACAATTGAATAAGGTGAATTGCGGGTCGGGCCGACTGTCCCTCTGGCAGTTTGTTTGAAAACTGCCATTCATACCTCAAACCTCGTTTGGATACTAAGGAGGTGCTTGCAGTCCTGGTTTCCACCAGAGATCACATACTTTGTGCCTTGACTGGATTCAAGCCATGTATACTGCGTGCCAGTTGTGTGTGTGAGTTCCAACATATGTGTATGTATATTTATATAAACACACATATATATATATTACTGTCTTTGCATATGGATTTTTGTCTTGGCAGGAGAGAGCTAAGCAGCTGCACGAGAAGTACAAAGATGGTTTCAGGATCGTGCAGAAGTAAGGCTGGGAACTTGGTTGCCGACTGACAGAGTCATGCTGAAGCGAGCACAACGACACTTCGGTGCGCTGAGGCCGATCAAGATACGAGGTCAATTCAGGTCTCACCGTGTTTGCAATGAAACGCTTTGCCGAAGCAAAGCTGCCTGCACTGCTTTCGGGTCAGACTTGTGCGGCAACACGTTCCCACAGTTTCTGGGGCTCTTAGTGGGTTGTCCAAGATCATGTTCGGACTGGCAGTTTCGTGCTTTGGTTAGCGGTTAGCAGTGCCTGCAGCCTCCAATGAATGTGGGCAAACTGCCTGGCGGCAGTTGGGCAATTCATACTGGCCAGGTGCACAGATTCCAAGCGTACCAAGGATTGCTTAGGCGAACGGCCTTACCGAACCGATCCTCACGTTGATCGAACTCGCCAGCATGAGCCGCCAGAGCGGATGTCGCAGTGTGGCCGAAGAGAAACGGCTCAAAGTACGGGACGGCCAAAGGCCTGTCGAATGACATGGCTGAGCTAACGTGCATCCGGGTTTTGCCAGGCATGATTGGGAACCTTTCAGCACGCACATACCACTAGATATTTGCATTTTTAACACTGAGATTGCGTAATTTGGACGATGGTTGTTGGACTTTGGGGATATCAGTAGCCAAATCGTTAGCATAAGAAAGGTTGCCTAGAGTCTGGCAGGACAAGGAGCGAACATGTTTTTTTCACGCGCTTCTGTTGTTTGACAGCATGCTCTTCCGAAAACAAGGCAAAATACTTGTCTTGCCTTCAACGGGATGTGCGGGTTTGAGAGATGATGTGATCATGTTGATTTGCACGGAACATTGGAGGCACGGCGGCACAACCATCGAGCAAATCGCATGTCTGACCTGACCTAGCCCTGCACATCCAGCTTTTCATCCAGCCACTGCTATGCTGGATTTGTGCCCAACCTCGCTTTCAATGGATTCCACCTGCCTAATTAGCGCCACAGCAGAGGGGGGAAGTCCAAGAGAACGAAGGTGGGATGAAACCATTCGGATGAGGAGGCACAACATAATTAAGGCATGTCACAACATGCCCAAGCTTCAGCGTTTGCAGCCCATTGCTTGATCTCGTATGGGACATGCAGGCAGTGGCATCAGAAGCCATTCATCGCACAGCCTGACTACAGACTCGAATCATCAAATCAATCCAAAAACATAATGGGGCTAGTGTTTCCTTGTTTCAGACGGTCGGGTGACGGACCCAAAGACCACAAGAGACCGCCTTCAAGTGGCTTTGAGCCAATACACGCGAAAAGGTTTGCTGCGTCGACTTGGCCTTAGTTAGAGTTCTGTGTGTCATTCAGGGCCGAAAGCTGCTCCAAGGTGAAGGACAAAGTTTGCCTAAGACTTCAAAATAAAACAGGCATACTTCCAGTTCGACCTGCGTGGCCATGAGCTGCAGGTCGGGCGAGAAGAGCAAGGTGGAATCGATGCAAATGGGGGAATTTGACGAATGTGGCGACATTGGTGGTTGATGGCTTTGCTGGTCCCAGGTTTCATGCTGATGTGCAGGGTTCAAGGAATATCAAGGAATCACTCGAATCACCTTTCCTGCTTCCAAAGGTTTCAACAGGTAGAAGGAGTTTGGTCATGTAATGAGTCATTACAGGCCAGGCCAGCGAGGCCTTCGTCAGAATTTGGTGGTTCCATGCCAGGCCAGCGAGGTCCGGCTTGCCTGGCAGGGAGCCTGAGGGTGTCTGGCAGCTGGGGCATGCTGGGCCATGGCCCACCATTTGCAGGCTAGTAGAAATGGGTTCTTTGGCAGGCTCATGAGGGCAGGCAGCAAGAGCTAGCTTGCACAGAGAGAGAGAGAGAGAGAGACAGAGAGAGTGTGTGAGAGAGCCTTTGGGCTTTCAAGACCCAGTTGGCCTAGGACTTCACTCGATGCTTCCTTGGGAGGTGCATGTCTTGGCTTTTTTTCTTGGCAGGGAAAGGATGGAGGTTGATGCCAGGTCCGTCAGGTCTGGGATTCGCATGGATTCGCTGGCGATGTGTTCTCCATGCGGCCCACGGTGCCCACGCGGCCCTGGTTTTCAGGGGATGCGCGCAGCCGTGACGGGGACGGCCTTGACAGCGCGGCTGGAGAGGTCGAAGCACTCCGCGAGGCGGGTGGCGAGGAGGGTGTTTGAGCACCCTTGATAAGATTCCTTTCAAGGGGGCCTTGTTAAAGGCGCCGCCTCATTAAAGGTACCAAAACACATTTTGACTTTGGGGGGTAGGCTACTTCGAATATCTCTTCATTCTGCGATGTTGGGTAGCCCACAAGAAAAAGGTCGGCTGATGGGTCACAGATTTTGGTGTCCTAAAGTCCTCAGGAAAAACTTCTTTTCAGCCGAACCATAAGTCACTATCTAAATCCAACTGACCATTTCTAGCCCATCGTGGTTGATAAATCCGTGGGCGAGGTCAGCAAGAACACAGTGGAGACGGAAAGTTGCTTGGCTGAAGGAATGAGCTTCGAGCGGGCGTGAAGACTTGTGAAGTTTGGGATGTTGGATAGGTGTTACGAGAAGCAGGACTAGCCGACTAGCCACTGGTGACTAGCGGAGCTAGTCGAATCTGAAGCATCAGATGAATCGGCTGACTGGCATTCGCACCAGGTTGGTACCCTGAGGACTCCATGGAGTTGGATGCGGTCCTAGCACAGGAGCTGTGCAGGGTGATGTTGCGACCAGCTCCCAGCTTGGACATGCACGTGACAAGTTGCACTGTTCAGGTGCCTTTCGGATAGGTTTGGCCTTTGGGATGGGACACTTAGATCCTTTGGGGTCATCAGGAGCTGGGCTTTGTATGTGACTTCGGCAGAGGCTCGGGGGTTTGGGTAGTGACAGGATGTTGACGTGAAGTGAGTCAGGCTCTTGATGCGATGGCCATTGCTTCGGCAATGACTTCAGTGCTGACTCTTCTTTGCTTCTTTCCACTCTTCAAATCGTTAGCCATTAAGCTAACATGTGGGGTCGAGTCCAATTGGGTGACGGCATGCACGAAAGGACCTTCAAAGATGAGTAGACCAATCCAGCAAAATGGATGTGGCTCAAAAAGTAAGACTCAGGGACCAGGGGACCAGGTTAATATGAGCTCATATGTCTTAGTCATTTTGTCCATTTACTAATAATTTTCGGGGCAGCCAATTTTAGCCACAGTTTTTTTTGCAAGATATATATATATATATACACACTATTGTATGCTGTATATTTTTGTCTGCTTTAGCCGCCTGAGGCCGCCTTCCCGACGGGT